ACGCTGTTGCTGCAAATGCAAATCAACAGTTTCCAGATTTTATTTCCCTGCTTAAAAAAGTACTTTTTTTACACTGGAAGATGAACTATTTACTACAAGTTATAATGATTATCATGCAAAGCATGTTCATAACATGACGCAAGCCTGTGAAGATATTCTCTTTCAAAACATGTCCTCTCTTTGTTGCTTCTTCTCTTCGTCATATAATTGACAAATGTGTTGTTTTGATATAATCCCCCAGATCTGTCAACTCTGAAGCTTGCCCTCTGCTCCTCCATCCCTCCATGCCCCCACCCCACAACACACCCACACAGACCCCTCTGCCACCTCCTCTCCAGTCCCCACCCCTGCAAAGCAAAGCTCTCTTTGTTAACCTAATGTGCTTTTACCAGTTGCTTTCTGCCAGCGAGACATCTGCTGTGTGCAACCAGTCAATATTGTGAGGACAGTTCAAAGCGGCCAGTTCATTATCTGTGTCAGCTTAACAACCCAAAGGTAGCGGTCTAAGGGACACAAGGAGGAGGAGGAGGAGGAGGGGGAGGAGGAGAGGAGGGGGACACAATGTGTGAAGACACAATGGACTCCTCATTAACCAGTGATTTATCATGATAGGATGCCCAGTTCAACCTTTTGCTCCCCCTGCACACACACACACCTCCAGAAAAGGATCCTATTGTTGGAAAAAGAAGAGAGGACTGTGAAAGTGGAGTTGAAAGTGAAATGATATAGTTAAAAAGTCAAATGAAAAGTAAAAGTGAAAGAAAATCATCCATAGCTGAAGTGTGTCCTTTTTGAGAGTGTGTGAGAATAAAGGCCAGTGAGGGCCAACACACTCAAACTTCTGTGCTTTTCAGTTTTTTAAATAGTAAAACTAGTAAAAAAAAAAAAAAAAAAAAAAGAAGAAGCACCAGCTTCTCTTACAAGGTTATTGTCACTTTTATTTCATTATGTTTTCTCTTAGATTTTAAACATTTCCCTATAAAACTCTTAAAAGCAGTTTTTGACCTCTCAGAGCTCAGAATTCTCCCACTTGTACAGATTCGTGAGAAAAGCCCATCGCCCCGAAAAGCCAACTTTATTAAACATTACACGCAATCTGATTCACACCGTAAAAAATTAGCCTTGCTATAGACACACCCTCTCTTTCCTGAGACAGGCTTTATGAAAGTCAAATCTCTCGGTCATGATGATATCATACGTGTCAGAAAGCCTCTAAAGATGCTCCATGCATGCATATGCAGAGAGATCATAGTCCATCCTCAGCCGCTCTGCCCTCACAGAGGCGGAGCCTCTTCCTGCACATAAAAGCTGTATAATGAGCGTTTAATGTATGGCTTCTCAAAATGCAGAGAAAAGGGAATATTCAACGTGGCCCATGTGGTGGTTTTGTAAAGCTGCTGCAACAAGGAACACACCCCTTTTCAATTTCTCCTTTTCCATCCTTTCCATGCAACCCCCCCTTCTCTCTATCCCTCCCTCCCTTTCTGAATCCATTTGCTTAAATCAATCTCACAGGAGGCGGTCGTGGATAATGTACCAGCCAGGGTTTGTAAACCGTTTTGTTAACAATGCATTTTGAAAAGAAAAGAAAAGAGGAGGAGAGGAGAGAGATAAAGCGAGACAGAGAAAGTGAGAGAAGGAGAGACGGAGAAACGGGCAGAAGGGTGCTGAAAGAGGAACAGTTGGGTGGGTGTGGTGTGCGGCGCTGTTTGGGACAGGCCCTGTCGACTGGTGACACCCCTGTCCCATCTCCTCCTCCCTCAGCTAAAGCCTGCATCCGCCCAATTTGGTCCAGTCCTCTCTTTAGTCACACCACCTGCCTTCACTATTCTTCACCACACACCCACCCGTCCGCTGACAGGACGAACAGACGGCATAAACCCCCGTAACTCAGCCTAAACGCCCCTCTCACATACACATGCTACACAAGTATACACACTGACAGGGCTAGTGTTCCCTTTATAGGATTATAGTGATCAATAATGAGCAATGAGAGATGATCATGGTCAATTTCTCAATCATGTCAACATTCTGCTCAGTGGTAACAGGGGGGACACATGTGACTACTCTGAACAGGTTCATTTAGGAATCATACAAACAGTAGACCTACGTTTGTGCCGTTACTTTTAGCTCACAAGGGAAGTGGGAGTCAGCATACCTGAGCTGTCACTTTTAAAGGTCTTGCTACTAAACTGCCAAGAGATTTCGCTTGAAATCAAAGCTAATAACCGTTACACCAGATTAGGATAGGTCAGCTTTTTTAAGTTCCTCACACTCACTGAACTTGTTCTGCTTTGCACCGTACTCCTGAACGTAACTGCCGAACAAGCTGTAGTTAGAGCCGTTCAGCTGAGGGACTTTTCATGTAGAAGTAGTTGCCTGCTGATATTCTTAATCATTTGGTATTGTTTGTTTGTGTGCAATGGCTGTAGTGATTCCTGCCACAGAGATCTCGCCTTTGTAGCAGTTTGTGTTTATCATTTGTTTTTCTATCATGTGAAATTCAACGTGAATGCAATGCTGTTTAGCAGCAAACTTGGTAGTCCTGGATGTTGGACTTTCCAAGCACCAATTAATGACTGAAAACCCAAAACCTTTAAAATGCAAAACATTTGAATTTCAGGTCAGTACCAAAATCAAATCAGCTGATAATTAGGTAATGTATCATCTGTCCATCATATCCACACACATAGCATTTTGCAACAAACTGGCAGACCAGACAGGAGACATGAGACACAATCCAGAGTTGTGTGTATCTCCAGAGTTGTAACAGTTATGCACCGCTGGCTACTGAGCAGCGGTGTATTCTCATACCAATTAATATCTTAAAATAAAAAACCAAAAGGTGTCTTAATATACTACAAAAGGAAGATCAGTGTTAATTTACCCCACGGCAACTTCTATAACTCAAAAAATGGAACAGAAAAAAATCATGTGTGATGTCCAGGCTGTATGAGCAAGGAGTCAACTGCTTCTGTACAAGTTAGTAGTGACACATCCTATCAGCAGGGACCTGTTCCTCCATGTTCTCTATGCCAAGCTACTTTGCCTATCAAAGCCCCTTTTAGCCTGAGGAAGCCTGGGCCAGTTTGACACCGTATTCCCACGGGGCCCTCTCAGATATCCACCAAAGCACCCATTACTGGATCATAAGCTCCAGAATCAGGCTACACTGGACAGGAATCCCCAGTAGAGTCTCGTGGACCGGGGCTGATTTGCAACATAAGCCCCCCTGTGATTGCCCATTAGCCCCTGTCCCCACTGACGGCGGCTAGCAGGGTAGCATGTGTAGCTCTAACTAGCTACTGCGCATTGCCATTGAAGATTTGCGACCATTACTTCCCCTAATTGGCTGTGAGGGGTATTAGGAGAGGTTGTGGCTTCAGGGAATTGATAGTGACATCTGATCTAATGTCCACTTAAAATGAAGACGATGTTGAGTCATAGTGTGCTGACAGAAGAGTTTCCCCCTGGGATGCAGCTTAGATCTGATGATTGATGGGTTATTATAATACAAGCCCCGTGTGTCAGGACTGATTTGACTTTTGGTTCATTTTCTTTGGTCCACACGACACCAGAGCGCAGTTTTACATTCGGTTTGTGTATGTTTGTTCTGACTAATTAAAAGTGAGCAAGGGCCTGTAAACAAATTTGGAATGATTTAAAATGAATCTACTTATTAGACAACACTTCTGGTAACCGGACATCCTGTCATAATAGAGACATTAGCAACAAATCTGTCTCTAGCTCATCTTAAAGAACGTTTGAAGAAATACCTGAATATGAGCATTAATGTTGACTATAATTAAAAAAAAAAAAAAAATGTATCCTCCAAATATTTGGAATGTAAGAAAAATATTTCACCTATAATGTGTAATATTTAATGCTGTCAAATTTCACACAGTATTGGCAAAATGCCCTTAAATAAAAACATTTTTGCTTTTAAGTTAGATAATAAACACATACATCTCCTTTTACTCTAGTGTTAAAGCATTATTTCCTATAGCTCGGTTGATTTCAGTGTAACGGCATCACAGTTCACAATGGAGGGAGCAGAAACTCACATTGTCAAACAAATTTGAGTTTTTTGGAGTTCAAACAGCACTGTTTTGTTCTTTCCTCCCCAAATGAATCAAATGAAAAGACAATACATTACACAGGCCAGAAAACATCAGGTCAAACATGGTCATTAAAAGGAGTGTGGTGTAAGTTTTACTTCCTGTAAAAACACAAACATGAACATGACCGTCAACTAGAACCCCTCTATGACCTTGCAGTAATCGGTTTTCTTAAGCATCATGTAAATAAGATCGCTGACCTCTTCATTATGTACTTTTCCCCTCTACATTTTTTACACAAATATCTTTACATTCTACTCAAAACACTTTTCATTTTTTATGCGTTTTTTTTTATTGTTTTTTCTTTTTTTTGGAGGGCCGTCATTGTATGCCTTTCTTACATCAAAACAGGTGCATATCACCCATGACAGACATAAGACGAAACAGATAAGAGAAGGAGACTGAACCCTATTCGAAGTTTGAATTTGCTTTGCACAGGTAGAAATGTCCTTCAGAGAAACAAGTACTTTTTACTTTTATACTTTGAGTACATTTCTTGAGCTTGTACTTTACTTTTAGTTCAATCAATACTTCTACTTTTACCAGAAGCTTCTAAGTATCTGTACTTCTACCTGCGTAAAGAATGTGTGTACTTTTGCCACCTCTGGTTTTCTCTGGTTCTTTGTGTGAGAAGGCAGAAATTGATATTAAATTCATTTCATCACAATCTTTTATTGCCTCAAAAGAAAAACTCCAGGAGTAAACATGAGAAAAGTTGCATGATCAAGCACTGCAGATAGTGAATAATGTAATTTTCTTGCGGCCTTTTATTCCTAATCCTGCATTCTTACAAATGATGTTGGTTATATTGGTTTTATGAGACTATTGGAGCAGCAAGAAACACCGGATTTATCTGTTCAAATCACTTTGCAGATCCACCAGAGACCACAACAGATCCACTCTGAGCCTCTTTAAAACACCCACAATCAGTCAGAACAGAGTGACACATGAACCAATCTGCATGTGGTCTGCAGATCAGACACACAGACACTGAGTGTGGTCCATCAACAGCTCTTCCTAATCAACCCCAGAGACCCCGGCCTTTTAGCCGCCAGCCCTCAACATGTCTCGCTGTGTTTACACACGCTGATTAGTTTGGTAAGTGTACAGAATGTCCTAAGGACGGTGATCTCTGAATCAATGTGCCCCTCAGTCTCATCCTTTATCCTCCCATCCCTCTGTCACAAAAGCCAGAGATCCTCTTGGAATCGGTGAGAGAAATTAAGGGATCAGAGTCGGCCAACTCCTGAGCAAACAGACTGAGCTAATGGACCAGCCGCTTTCTCCTCCCCTCAAATTATTAGCGGAGCGAGGGAATGTAGCCAGTCCAGTCATGATGTTAATGCTAAAGCTCGCTAATCCCTTACACACACACACTGGCCTCGCACTTGCCTTGATACACACACGGCTACTGGGTAATCACTCCACCACCCAGGCAGTGGGAGAGGATGGGAGAGCACAAGAGCAAAGGAATGAGACTGAAAGTGAACACATACACATGGCGGGGTTCCCAGGGGCCTGGAACATGTTGCAGGTTTGTGAGATGTGAGAAAAATCACAAAGGAGGAGAGGATCCAGGATATGGTCCAGAGCTTGATATGTGAACCTTTTTCACAGGGGTTTCAATATGCCATGATTGCCGTCATGTGAACCAGGTTTTGGACTCTGAATGGTGTCAAGGATTTTCTTTTAGGGTTCTCTTTTATGGTTGCTTTTCCATCGTACCAGTTCTTTGAGAATGTTCAGTGTAATGTCATGGTGTGTTACTTCCAAATATGTCAACTTTGAGCCCTCAAATTACACAAAATAAGAGCTTGGAAGTAATCGAACAAGTCTCTGGACTCTGAAGGGGGAACCTGATGTACATGGGAACACACAGGTAACCCAATACAGTCCTCCTCTCCAACACATCACTGTGGAAGCCTGTCTCCACTGGGTTTAGGTTGGCAACAGCTGGCTAAAGCAGAATATGCTAATGCCAGTTCTTGGGAGGAGTACTTTTGGCTTATGAGGGATTAGCGCTTGTTGGCCGGCCCTGACTCCCTGCAGAGCGAGCACGCTAATACAGGTGTTAGTAAACTGGCATTAGACTCCAGCTAATTAGCTTCCATTCACCGAGTGATTGTCCAGCCAGCTCTGCCATTTGTAGTGGTGTTTGCTCATCGGCAGGGAGGTCTCTGTGCTGTGGTGGTGGTCCGTTATGATCCGACATGATCTCCCTTCTTCCTTCTTTCACTCTCCCTGTAGGGCGCTGGACAGCAGGGCCCATCCAGGAGACAAACTCAACTGGTTGTATAAGAGCCAGAAGCCAAGACAGAGGGACAGAGGAGAGCCAGCAGCATCACACTGAGACAGTGTCCATCATAAAGTAAATGGAAACAAAATAGTTTCTTAGTTTTGGCCATCCATCCACACTTGGCCAACAAGCCGGCACGCAAAAGAGTCTTATCTTATTATCATGTGATCCAGTTTCAGCTGATGACGCAATTGTCATTAAAGGATAATTCTGGTTTATTACAACTTAGATCTTATTTTGGTGGTTATGGCCATTATTCCTATGACATTGTACTTAAATAAGTCCAACATAGCAAGAACCACAATCCCTTAGATCAGTAGTACCCAACCTTTTTCCATACCTGACCCCTTTTCTACCACTGAATAAATTACGACCCCTGACTAAGACCTAAATAATGAACACAATAAGTGCAGAAAGTTTGAGTAAAATAAGAGATTTGGATGAATTTTTGAGAGGATTATTACCTTTGAATATTGCATAACAACATTTTGTACAATTCTTTGTCTGTGTTATGCATTTTTAACAATCACACATACTTCATAGACATATTTGACAAATTTGACTAATTCAGTGTTTTCTTCTTCCTGATGTTTGGCCATTGTTCTGTTAGTTGTTTGGTTGTTTTAACTGTCCTGTGTACTTTTCTAAAGCAGGACGAGACTGTTTAGCAGAGAGTGAAGGCTCTGTGTATATAGCTTTTGTTCAGGTCTGCAAATTAGATCTTAAATAATGAACATTAAAAACTACGATTTTATTTAGTTTTCATCACAGAAATGAATGAAATGCTGAAATATAGGCCTACTGTGTATATTTACATCTAAAGTTTTTTGTACACCCCTTAAACTCAAGAAGGCCTCGCAATGCACCCTGTGGAGCTGACATAGAGGACTGCACCTGTTGTAACAAGACAACAGTTTAGTCAATTTGTCCAAACCACTCTATGTGGAGCTTAGCTGAATGTGAGCACACCTGTGAGCACATTATAGTAAGTACAGTGGAACCAGAAACCAGGAAGTCTGTCAACTGTTATTGAAGGAAAGTTTGGGTAACCATTTTACTGTTTGCTTTTATTTTATTTTCCAAAAGAGTTTGGTTAACCTGAAGGTATGTTTAAAACCTGTATGATGTCTCACTTCACATATTTCTAACCAGATCCAACCTCTTTTTAACAAAGTTGCCACATTCACAGATCTCAGCGATTAACATGGTGAGGATGATTGTATTATTACTGATATGAATGATGACAAAAACTGAAAATAAGATCCAGGGTGTAATAAAAAATAATTATCCTTAAATACACTTTTCTGTTTCTGTTGGACATCTGCACAATATTGAAATACAAAAAAAAAAACTGAAGAGAGAGCTAGACCTTTACCCTGATAAGACGAAGCAAAGTGTAAGATGTATGTAAAGATATAGCAAATGTATGCAAAATTACATAAAAATAATGTTTTATATCAAACATGTCAAATAAAAACCTTAGGTCGATATATGTCAATACTGAATTACAGCAAATCCCTCGGGGTGCATAAGATGAACACTTGTTAGTAGTTAAAGAAGAGATTTCAGCCATGCTTCTATCTTGGTATGTAGACAGTAAAACATTCTTGTATGAACAGAGGGACACACACACACATATTTATATATATGTATAGTGGCTTCTAACAATTGGCTGCTTAAATCTACAATCTCAAAAATGTCACTATATTGGGAAATAAGAAAATAAACAACAACAACAAGGTTTTAAGCATGATCACCATGCATTATAAGTAATTTCAAAGATGCTAGAGAGTTCAAACGCCTAAAAGGTCGAGAAATGTTCTTAATACACAGAAAAAGCATCATAACTGCACTTATTCTGATTATTAGTTTTCTGCATTTTGTCTTCCAGAGAAAGATGTTGCTCTCTTTGGATTTCTGCTAAGCAGTAAAACTGTGCGAGGTGTGTGTTCCATGAGTCTTATGCCAATGCTGTTTATTATGATAATTGTTCTATGTTTGCACATGTGATGGACAACACGATTCACCGATTATGAATGAAGGTGGCGCACAGGAATTGAAAGATGGGTATTACATGCAATTCAATGTTGCTGGATGTGGGAAAGAGACTAAAGGTTAGTTGGTTGACATTCCCGAAGCCATTCCGCTGGGGATGTCGGCAGTTCAAAAGGAGTCATTAAGCTTCACCAGTTCTGCCACAAAGGGGAGATTTAAGACAGCAAATAGATCTGATAGTGAAAACTCAAAGCCAAACACAAATATCCACTAAGAGGCTTTGGTGTATTATGCCATTATTACACCCCCATACAAGACCGTACAGATTTAAGTGTTTCAAGTTTAATTTTCTCCTGGGAAAGTCTCATCATAACAGACCATCTATCCTTTTCATGTTACCCATTTAGAAAAACGATGAGCGAAAACGTAATACTGATAACAACCAGTCATAAATATTGACATATAACATACACAACATAACATCAGTTCAAATGCCTCGGACGTCCTAATCTCTGCGGAAAAAAATTATACTTAATCGACTAACTATACTTCTGAAATATATTTAATACTGAAAAGAGACTAGTAAACACTGACTAATGTTAGCATAACTTCCTACAACAGTGAAAACGCAATCTCCTGCCAACTAGTTGAATGACTTTAACAAAGCCATGTTGATGAAAAGGACTCACAGGCCAATACACATCCATTCAGACAAGGGTTTGCAGCTCACCAGTAGAACAAAGACTAAAGGTACACGTGGTAAGGAATCGACTTTCAGCAGATGTGACATACAGACAAAGTGTGGTTTCGGAGTTGCTGATCAAATTATACGATAGTGTGGCCTGTAATAAGTTTGAGCAGGTGCTTATAGACACATGGACATACTTGTAAAAAACAAAGCATGTGTTCAGTTTCAGAGTTTCTGATTGATGATTAATACCTGATAGTGTATGATGGTCTATAATTTGTCTAAAAGTTCAGACAACTATCTTGTTTTACTTTGCAGAATTGTCTCAAATCTCCTTTTTTAGTTTCTTTGTTTCAGTTTCTATGGCAGTCCACTCTTTTATGTGAATGCTCATTTTGTTGGGCCTGTTTGATGACCTTTGCTTCTTAATTACCAATATCAATCAAAATTATTATTATACAGCCTCAGATTTATTTGTGTTTTCACTCTTTCTAGGTGTTTTGTTGTTTTCTTTGTGAATGTTTATATTTCCACTTCCTTTAGGATTTCCTCTTTAAACTTCATACAGTGCAAAGATGTAAGTAAGCCAGATATGTAAAGGTGCAGTCAGGTGACATGGAGACAGTTTTGTTTCAAATTCAGGCAACTTTAGTGGACTATTGTTTTTTTTCTGCTCCCTCGTCTTTCTCTGGCACAAACAACCACAAGCACTCATGATACCAACCTTCTGTACATACGACTGACAACTTTGATTGCTATGATTTAAATTGTTAAAGTGTTTGCACATTTAGATACAGAAAGTGTCATTTGGGCTGGAAAGATTTAACTGGTTTAAGAAATGTCTTACCTCAGAATGAATTCTGTCAGACCGTTTCCCAGCGTTGGAACAGTGCAAACGTTGTGACACAGGCAATGCAAGATGATTCTGATGCAAGTACAGGTTGCTGTCTGCATAGATGCAGATAATGTATGAAGGCTCTTCCTATAAAAAAAAAAAAAAAAAACATGTCATGTGTTGTACCTCAAGAACAACAACTTAAATCACAGTTAACATAAAGCTTTCATTTAAGTAGTCATCGGTCTCCACAGGAAAACATGTCGCCTCACAAACTTCTGTCACATCCATGCCTTCTTATGTATAGAATTTTTTTTGTTTTGTTTGTTTCAAGCTAGATTTCATATACTGTAAAGTTTGTATTTTCTAAATTAAGATAAATGTTATGTTTTATTTAAATGCACAAATTTATGCACAAACAAACTAAATTTACACAAATTTAAGACTATTGACACCATAACAAACTGAAATAGGCAGATAGACTGACAGACGTGGTAGTTAGCAGCAGGTTGGCCAGATGTGCAAGTGAAGTCTTATCTCTACCTGCTGGGAGCTGCCAGGTCCCCCAGACTCTTTTTAGGACCCTCTATTGAAAAACAGTGATAATCTGTTTGCTCCTTTAATGAGCTCATTGTTCCTCAGAGGAGGAAAAGCAGGTCTCATTGCTGCTTAGTTGCGGCTCTTTGAGCAGGAAAGCTCCTCTGAGCACCACTGATACTCTGCTTCGGCTCGAACATATTGTGAAGGTCTGAGCCTCAAGTCTGAGCCTGTGACAAAGCCAAGCCTGAGGAAGACTCTGAGCCTCTGTCCTACTGTGGAGTTACTTTATTGTACCACTTTTTTCACAGCTGATCACAGGATCTGGCAGCTGGTATCGCCTTTTTAACCCCCCAGACTTATGATATACCCTTTGAGGTTCCTTTAAATTTAGAAACAGCTGCCTCTTAACATACTTTATACTATTATATATACTTATTTTTATTTCATATTTAGGAAAGAAACCAGGACTTGTTTTTTGTTTTGTGATTTGCTTAAAACACAGTATTATGTTATAAACTTTGTTCATTAAAAGAGCACCTGATTTACTGTACACTACAGGAATCTGTGTCTTTTTACAGGACGAAATTTGTATGTTCATATAAAAAAATTGGTATCCTCATGAATATCTATTTGCTCCAACACTTCATTGAAGTTTACATATTAGCTTATACCAAACATTACATACCCTAACTGTAACTGTCTAACGCTAAAAAATAGGGTGAATATGTCTGTATAGGTCCAATGTGTAGGATTTAGTGGCATCTAGCAGTGTAGTTGCAGATTGAAAACTCCCTTGTTTCACCCTCCACTTCCAAGCACGAAGAAGAAACTATGGTGGCTGCAGAACACGCAGCAACTGGAGCCACTATTTGATTTATTCCTTCTGAGCTAATGTAAAGACATGGTGGTTCAACATGGAAGCTGACCCGCAGCGTCTGTAGATAAAAGGCTCATTCTAAGGTAACAGAAACATGACAATTCTTACATTTGGGTGATTAAACACTAATGAAAACATAATTATGTACTCCATTTCTGCCAATAGATCCTCCTAAATGTAACACACTGGACCTTTAACATGCTAAAACTTAAAGCTTGAAGGTGCTTTTTTACTGATAAAAACAAGCCGACTTGAAGCACACTGAAATATTCATGGAACTGTTATCATTTGGACAATAAAACACATTGGAGATTAATTACCATTGAAACGTATGACAATAAATGGATATCTGAGCAGAGGGTCACAGGAAAGCAAAAGGCATCATCCTGACTATTGTTCACACCAGCTGACACAGCAACAAATAATGGCAACAGTCGGCTCTAATAATGCAGGCTTCTCTCATCACACACAGACACACACACACACACACACACACACACACACCACCCACCCCATAGGTACCACCGAAGCCTGCATCTTGATCAGACAGTGCCTCTCTAATTGAGCTAATCCCCACTTCAGGATCAGCGCTGTCCCCTGAGATCTGACCCTCCACCCTGCCTGTCTCCTGCTCTCACTGCCTCCGCTCTCAGCTTAAACCTCCCGTCCCCTCTGTGGCTCATGTGGACTGTAAAGCTGTTTATTGGGAGACAATGGGCAGCAGATTGTGCTGTCAGGCTCCATTAATTTCCATCATTAGCATCACACTCCAGAGTCTGTGGAACCGGGGTGCTAAGCCTTAAGCTGTGTTTGTGTACAGCATCGTGTGTGTGTGTGTGTGTGTGTGTGTGTGTGTGTGTGTGTGCATCTGTGTTTGTGTGTGATACGTAGGCATGCATGTATACATGTGTTTCATTTAGAAATAATCACATTAATAAATGTCTTAAGATATGTTTATTTGAAATGAATCATTTATATATCAACAATATGCCAACTTCTACGTCAAGGAAATCAATATATCGACTTATGTGTCATAAGTCATGGAGCTGAAAATGAAAACTTGATAGATCTGATCAACTGTGACCTGAATATGCTCATTTTTGTTTAATACCAGAGGGTGCAATCAAATGTAATCAATTAACACATAATCAGAGCGGTTTCAACGGCTGCCTGAAAATGTTGCTGGCCAACTAGACTTTAGAGACGACAAAGTTCAGACATTTGAACTTCATCTTTGGCTACATTTTCTTCTACACACTTTTATTCTTCAGTTTAACTTTATGTAAAAGCTGCTTTACAATTGGTACGAAAAACAATAAGAACACAGAACTGGTGGAACTTGGAAGCAGTTGTACTCACATTTAAGGAAGAAGAAATAAGGAGTTATTTGTTTTAATTCCAATTTAGAGACAAATGTCATGAACGTGTCAATCCATAAACGCTGTAGCATGTATAGTATCGAACAGCGGACTATCATTACACACCTTCTACCTTTACACAGATTCTTTTTGAACCAATTCATCACAATAAAATGTTTGGTAATTTTTCTGTGACTAAAAACAACGAAGATTTTTTGGGATTAAACTAAAGATCCATCTGGTTCAGCTGTGACTTTCTTTGCTCCAATATCCAGGTTGGAGTTTTACTGTCACGCATTTCAGCCTCAACTGCAAAAATTGCATTTGACACGTCGTACAATTAGGACGCGAGGAAGCAGTCCTACTATATCTGTGATATCTATATTTTGTGCCAAGATCTCCAATCAGGTGCAAATCAGGGATTAATATTAGCAAATGCCTGAATATAATATCATACTACGGGCATTAGCCAGTAACAGATTTAAAGAGCATTATCAGTTTTGGTCTACCTGTATTTTACCTGCATCTGCAGTTAAAGTCTTACAAAACACGTCCGTATTTGGAAGTACAGGTGGGAAAACACTGAACAGCACTGATATCAACTTAAAAGAAATACACCAATGCTTTTCTAATGCACAGTACATACAGTGCCAGTATGAGCCATTATTTCACATCCACTATTCTAAAAGATAATTCTGTTTGACTTCAGGTGAAGTGTGGCAGAACAGCAGTGACAGAGACATCAAACATATTATGCAATGTTTAGGAAATGCAGGAGGCACTGTGATTGAGATATAAAGAATGTGAAAAAGCCAATGAAAACCAACTCTTTATGATCCATATGTCCTTTAGTGCAACCTAATCAATGGACAAACGCAATTGACCACTGACCACCATTGGTATTTCCACCTCCAGCGGCGGAGCTCTAAAAGGAAATTGAACCACGTTTCTGCCACGCACCCACTGAGGCATAAGCCTTCTTACTTCAACTTCCTGTCTGATCAATGCGAGAGACAATGACTCAACAGGTGCGACAGACAGGAGCCCAGCGGCAGCTTTCCTCCCCGCAGTTAGGCCCAATTAGCACCCGCGGCTAAGGAACAAAGAGGCGACATTTCATTTCAGCAGAGTGCCAGTTTAAGGCCTCTTCTCTCAACCTCAGCCTCTTTTCTTTCTGTCTCTTACTGCTGACATCTTTAAAGGATCATCCCTGGCTCCATCATATTCTATTAAATTGGGTCGATGCCTTGTGTTCGAAGTGGCAGGGGTGTTAAAAACATGGGGTGTTGATGAATTCATTGCATGTGACTGGACTTGCTTTCTTTGTGTGCAGGTTTTGGCTAATGAAACCCCCTGAAGGTCTGACAAAAGGCAAAGACATTTTTCAGTGTTTGGCTAGCACTTTGGGTTTGGGCTGGATTTCCTGACCAAATGACACAGTGTGCACGAAATGCTGCCATCACAGAAACTTTAACTTATTTGGAAAGAAAAGATGTATTGTATCCTAAAATAACCCTTTCATTGTGATTTTTACACAATGAGAAACAATAATTATCTGGGGAGTCTTTCTCTTTCTCTTCCTCTTCCTCATGACTGCAAGAGCCTCTCCTGCACAGCTATTAACTGAGACATATTCAACATCATAGCTGCTCTTCAACACCTTTTCACCTTTCTTATTCATGATTATAGCGTGGCCGGAGTTTTAAATGTATTTTGAGGGTCATAGTTTTGTGTTTGAATCACCCAAGAAAGAAAGAAATGATGCAAAATGTTTGTGTTTTAACCTGGGTGTTGTTTAGATCGGTCGGTCTACAAATGCTGCAACTTAAAAAGGAGGAGGACAAACTCTTGACATTCAGTTTTAGGCATAAACTAGCTTAGACCTTTTTTTCTGCTACATAAGAGTTTGAGGTTGGCACTAAAAATCCCTTATATTATGAATTTAATTTGTGAAAGGTTAAGTTCTCTGCAGTTGTTAAGCAAGAAACTAAAACTGCAAATACATTTTAGAGCTTTAGTTGAGCCACCTTACTCCCTTTTTGAAATAATGCCCTCATGAGTGCAGATCAGTCTGCTGTAAGGGCAATGGGAACGCTGCTTTTGAAAACTGTTAATTCCCATTGCCGTAATTGATTATTGCCATGCCAGCACAACAGAAACAGAATAAAAGAACTAATTGGGTAACTTCAGTTAAAAAGTAACTACGTAGCCTACATTTACTCAAATACTGTTACAAATTTCAAATTCTGAGGCAAATACTGTGCACCACTACATTTATTTGATGACTTTAGTTTCCAGTTACTTTGGAGATTCACAATATTAATACAAATACAAGCAACAAATACACTTATATACATTATACGTTAAGATTAGACTTTATTGATGCCCAGTGGGAAATGCACAAGCTATCCAGCAGTATACAGAGTATATAACGTACTCAAAATGAAATTCCATCTAAGTTGCAACATTAAAATGATGTAGCAAATCAATAATTATAATCCAATAATATAATATCCATTACTCTGAAAAGGGTCATTCTGCATAATGAGTCCTTTTACTTTTGGCACTGTAAGTATATTCTGGTGCTAGTACTTTTACTTGCATACATTTCTACACTGTTGTATTGCTTTTTACTTGAGTAAAATCTACCTGGGTAACTTCTCCATAAGCGAAAGAGCAGAAAGAAGCTTAATGATTGACTGCATGGTCTCTACGCTGATATCTTGGGCAGGATGAATGAAGGCTTTAAATTCTCTATCTTTCCACAATAAAAAACAGGCAAAAAGGCACGAGGCTATCAGTCTTTTGATCCCTAACAAAGATGGTAATAGTTGAACACATTTAAAAAGGCCACTTAATGATTTGACACATACACGTGTCACGGTGAAACACACTATTGAGCCCCATTCTAAGTAAATGACTGGGACAGATTTCCCTAAAAGAGGAGACTTTCATTATTATGAATATTGGAGTATGAAACCTCTGTTGAAATACATTACAATGAAGTGATTATGTTGTACTGGGCCAACGGTACAGGAACCAGAGTGAAATGGAAAAATGAACAGGAATATTGTAGGGATAATTTTCAAGTGCGCATGCGCGGTGTCACAGAGCGCTGTCTATGGTGGAAAGTGAGGACGAGAACGAGGCTCGTTGAAGTCCAAACATCTGTCCCTTTCTTTTAACCACTGTATCATATAACCCAAATAAATAAAACATACAGTTAGCTGTCAGTGTGTGCCGTCCACCAAGCTCCATATTGACGGTGACGACCACATTATACCCCCCCCTCCTCCTCCTCCTCCTCAGCCTATCAACAAACAGAGAGACAGCGCCGTCTGTAAACATGAAGCAACCAGGAAGTGTCCCAGCAATGTAATCGTTGCTCCTGGCAATGTCTCTTGTGAAACTACCGGACACCACCCTGGGGAAAGCGACCTGGCTCTTAAGCGTCCTAGTTGTTGTCATTGCGGTGGTTTTGCGTTATTTCGACGACCCTGATCCGGTTAAATACACCAGGTAAAGTCTTATGTTAGCTCCTCTGCCAGCTGGACTCGGCACATGCAAAAGGTTTCATTTAAATCCGATCAAACATCAGCTAAGTTAACATGTAATGGAGCTACATGACTATATAATGTTAATGTTTAGTGTTAGCAAATGCCAGAGAGAAGGTACGATTTTATTTAACGTTAACAGAGGAACGTTTCTCCCTGGGTCATCAAATAGCAAACGTCAAGCCGAACCCCATTAAGAAATCCGTCAATTTAAAGTTCCCTTCCTTTTTAGAAAACACACTCAGCTTGTAAAACTAAACCAGAACTGGATTTTGAATTATATGCATCTGCTGATAAATTCGTCATAAATTGCATCGACTATTTGCCAGTTTTTAATATGAATAAATTAAAAATTAGATTACTGCCGTCCACCAATGTCAACAATAATCTGAACTTCTGACAGAAGAAAATTGATTCTGTACTAACACTAAACTAGTCTGTCTTGACATGAAACCCTACAATTGGAGTCAGTGCATCTAACTGCACAATGTTTTTTTTTTTATATATATATTCCCAGATGAATATGTGGAAACTTATGCCAGTATAGTAAACAATGTTTGCACAGCATGTTTTTAATGTTTGCACACACTGCCTACATAAAATACATGGGTTTCTTTTGTGGACATTACCTGAACTTAAACACGGTGCTAAGAGAGCAGTCGTTTTGTTTCGACACACAGCATGGCTGAGGACATGAAGACCCTGGAGGAAAACTTCAGGCAGCAGAATAAAAGCTGTTTCATCCTGGGAGCCTCTGGGGAAACGGGCAGGCTGTTGCTTCGAGAGCTGCTGGAGCGCAACATCTTCTCCAAGGTTACTCTCATCGGAAGGAGACAGCTCACCTTCGAGGACAAAGCATATGAAAACCTGGTTAGTGGGTTGGTTTTTTCTCGTCAGCTGACTCTATTACCTGAGATTCATCATGTTGACGCTGTGTTTTCTATGCCTCCAGGTTCAAGAGGTGGTGGACTTTGAGAAGCTTGATGATTATGCTGCTGCCTTCCAGGGCCATGATGTTGGCTACTGCTGCCTGGGTACAACCAGAGCTAAAGCAGGGGCTGTAGGTTAAACTTGTGTGGTGTTTACTGGTGAATTCATTAAAACTGTACTGCTGTAGGCCTTCTGTAGCACCAAGTACCAAAGTACAATATATCTGTTGGGATTTGATGGGGTTGTTGGTTTGTAGTAATAACTCAGTAGCATTGCTTTGTCATGTCCCAACATTTCCAATAGAGCCAAACTCATAATTTGGCTAAGCTAATATATTTGGCAATATTATCACAAATATATTGTTATCGCCGTAGATGTAGGCCACTAAACAGGAAATTCAGGACAGAATACTAAAGATGCATTTGAGGTAGTTTAAACAGCAACATTATTACATAGTTTGTTGAGCTCTGGCAAGTATTTCTAACTGTAAAATGTCTTATATTGATCACAAGTCTTAAAAAACTAATGTAAGGGATCCTTGTTAAAAATATGAATATATATATATAGTATTGATATTGGCCGATATATTGTTAGAGTTTTAAAATCACCATTGTATCAATTGTCCAAATTCAGTATTGTTCAGGCTACAATTCCCCGTTTACATTATTTACTTTGTGTCATACATTTTATTCTGAAGCCAAAGAAGAAGTGTTATTTAAGTGTTTGGCATTACACAAAATATTGTCCGGCCAGAATTAATATACATTTCTTATTCACAACATGATTCTTTTTCTAATTGGCTAGTTCCTCGGGAATAATTCAATTTCATTAACTACAGGTAAGCTTTTGGCAGACACCTGTCAGTGTTGTCAAAATAATATTTTCTGTTGCTTCTCTCTTTTATTTTAGGACGGATTCGTCCGTGTTGATCATGACTATGTTCTAAAATCAGCGGAGCTCGCCAAGTCAGGAGGCTGCACGCAGTTCCACCTGGAGTCCTCCAGAGGAGCCGACAAAAACAGCAACTTCCTCTACCTCAAAGTCAAAGTATTTTGTTTCCTTTCTCCAATGCATGCTACATACTGAAGTTCTTCTTTTTTTTTTATCTCAACTGAAGCTTATCCATGTGTCTCATTAAATGATGACATTGGACACTGAATGATCAACATGAAATGGGTTTTCTTCCAGGGACAAGTGGAAGCAGATATTGAGGCGCTGGGTTTTGACAGATATGCCATTTACAGACCAGGGTGAGCGTTCTTATTTACTTAATTCAATGATTTTATGAGACTGACCTTTATATTTACCACAGGGGACAAGACAAGTGGTCTCCCAACTAAAAAATACATACATGATGTACAACAAATGTGTATAGTGTTCTCCACAGTTAAGAATTACACTGCGTTAACATGGCCAACTTGACCAAATATTTGCCCAGATATGCCTTTTGTTAGGTTTGTATGATATTGTGGGAATGTGGGGATGGATTATGACATCTGATAGCTACTGCTGTAGTTTATAATGCATAGGGAAGCTGATCAGAACAAAGCTAAATCAGGACATTCATCCACGTGTTCTTGGTTGATATCAAGATTACCGTAGATAGATTATGCTTTAGTAATGTTTCAGGGACTGTAATCGTTTTTTTTTGTTGGTTTTTTTCACTCCTCCCCTGCTGCTGACCGGTTACCAAAACTCCATCCAGTAAACAAGGCACATGTGACACCATGTGACCTCTGTTTAAAGTCATGGATGGAACATAATAGTGTAACAAAGTTAACCTTTTCAGTTTGGTACACACCAGAGAAAACGTGATTGCAGCCTTTTAAATTATACAAAACGTTGATTGTACTATCAAAGTAATTCTAGTATGGCATATCTAGTAGTTAACCTCCAACCAAATACAATCTCTAACTCATCAATACCTTTAATGTTTTTCTCCAACAGGGTTTTGTTGGTCGACAGGCAAGAGAGTCGGCCCAGCGAGTGGCTGGCCAGGAAATTCTTCGGTGCCTTGTCAACAGTGTGTACAACGTCCATGTCCATCCCACTCCCAGTGCTGACAAAAGCGATGGTGTCAAACACTCTGCTTCAACCTGAGCAGAAGACGGAGATCCTGGAGAACAAAGCCATCGCCAGTCTAGGGATGAGTGCGGGGAAATAAACGTAGGTGAGAATAATATTACATTTACACAAGTTTCACTCTTAGAATACACACAAACACAAAGATAAAAATTCATGATCCACACAGCAGGAGGGCTGTGGTAAAGATTTACACGGTGAGCTGGCCAGAAAAACATAAGAATTCATGAAGTCAGGGTTATTTTGTTCTAAAGTTAATTATCTGGACTCCAAATTTCACTGTGACAATCTCTGTGACCTCTGGCTCCAAACTATTCATTATATTTTCCCTTTGTGGTCATTTTTTTTGCAGAGAGAGACGACTACATGCTGCAAATACTAATCAAGTCATCATCATGTCAAAGGGTTTTCACATAAAACACAGAGAACCCAGGGGTGTTACACATAGTTGAATGTGGTGGATCTGTTAGACTCTTTCTGGAGAAAACAACATATGAAGCTAACAGAATATTTAATCTTGAAATTGTATTTGGGTTTTTTTTTTTTGGTCTTGAATGATATTGTAATATTTTCATCAGCGAACTGTTGCCAGGCTTTTTGATGTACACCAACCAATGCACTGAACAACTGCCTTAATGTTGTTTTAAAAGTTTAATCTACACGAGATTAAAATATCTTTTTCGCTTTAACATGTTGTCATTAAATTATTATAAATATTTAACTGTGTTTGTGTTTTGTATCATTAATATTGTGTCTGTATCTGTTCTATACTACATCTGAGCAGAATATATTGTGTGTATATACACAATGACTATGCTATGTTATATTACAGGTAATATATACTGTCTGTTCATTTTAGATTAAGATATGATCTGCGACATGCAGATTCAGTGCCATCCATTGAATATATGAACTTCTATTTTTACACAACAATTTTGAATTAAGTTTGTTGATAATGAATGTTGTCTGCATGTGATTAAAGCTAAATGGTGGTTCAACAAACTGCTGTACAGCCAGTGATCCCTTTATTTCTTGATTGGCTAATTTGTAATTCTTTTTTTTAAAAAGACAAAAATCATCTTGGAACCTAGTTAAACAGAGATTGTGCTAGCAATGTCATGATGTATGATGTAAACCCATGTGAAAATCAGCCTGTGCGTACTGAAGTATATTCAGACAGAATAAAGATGTTGAGTGAAGGCAAACACTGACAGACCAGAGCATCACTACACAATAACGTAATACTATGAAGAGAAGTTCCTGCCAAATCTAAAATAAGATTTTTTATTTTTTTATTTTGTAGTTCTTTCATTTCTGATTTTACTTCTTTTCCTACTTAAATTGTATTTACCCATTATTGTGTTTGAGAGATGATATTCAAATAAACTTGTCCTTTCGCTCCTTGATGTAGCAGCGCCCTCTTGTGACTGAATGTGGTTATACTTAATGTGCTCTAAAGACATGATAAGCACTCATTCCTCTCCATAAAGTGTTACGATTATTCCTCCCCACAGCAGCCAAACGTGGCTCTTATTGTACCTGCAGCCTGGCAGCAGGTCACATGGTGGCATTTTTCTGTAGGATCTCAACAGGGTTTCCTATAGACTAGGTAACAGAGTTTTAAAATCATATCTGTATATTTATGCTGCTAAAAGACTACAAAAGTTGTCATTTGTGTGTGATGAACCAGTTTTTCTTTGGAACTTGTACATAAATAAATAAAAACAACCATTTGGATACATTGGTGACGCCATGAACACATCATGCTTTCTGGGGTGATATTTTTTTACATTTGAAACATGCTAATTTAACAGCAGATATTTTGACATCACAGTATGGTATAAATAAATAAAACTGATGATGATGAATGATGGCTGAATTACACTTAGCTGTTTTTGGTTTCAGGGTTCTGGCATCACTTCCACGGTTTACTCGACACTAAATTATAAAAAAGGAGCCACCAACGTGTACTTTTCCTTACAATGATAAGTCAAAAAGTCTGAAAAAAGGTCAAGTAGATAAACATGTTCATAGAAAAATTGGGGTAAAACCTTAAGTTAGCTTATTAAAAAGTATCAATTAGGTTATTCATTCCCTTAAAGGATGAGGACCTTGGTTACATATAAATGCACAGTTTAGCTGGGATTTAAAGTTTACCTATAAATGAAGACCAGTTTTATTTTCAGACAAAAAAATATAAAGCAAAAGAATAAAAACACCAGGTGAATGACACAAATCCTCCCCTGTACTTCATAAATGGCATTGACACTGCATCTTCAGTTTTGATCAGGGTAATAGTCGCATTTATGGAGAAGAAAAGTCCTGTTTTTTCCTTATCTTTTTTTGTGCTCATACAAGCTGACAGCAGGTCCCTATCCGAGTGTTCTTAACTAAGCAGCTTCAGTTAATGGGCGGCTAAAACAATAAATCTATCTAAAGTAATCTTTGTCAATCCTTCGACTGAAACACAGTGGGTTTCTCTACAACAAAATAAAAACAAATTATTTAGAATTAACAGCTGGCGGTACATGAATCCATATTTGTTTTTTGATCCAAAATATGAAATGTTTGCTCTGATATGTCTGCAGCATTTTCCTTTGGCATATTTCATCTACAAGAAAAAGCTTCTATACAGCATACTGCACATTTTATCAATACACAGAAACAACATCAATTAACTCCCAAGAAGTGATACTGAGCAGGAGAATATACCTCAAACTGACACTGTTTGGAGAAAAACATCCAGCCTCCTCTTCCTCCTGCAGCTTTGAGTGTTGCCATCATGGCCATGCAGCAATTAATCCAAAATGAGTAACAGCTGAGTTGATCTGCCTCTTACCTCTTAGAGTTTTCAAATTGTAGGTCTGTGCTTCCTGTTCCAACAGGTTAGTCACACATTGATTCACCGTTGGTGCTACTGAAAAGAGCTTAACAATGAGCCGTACAGATTGTTTCAGGTAAATCGTCCTGTTCCATGCCTCTTTTGATTGTAGCTATTTGAATATTTCATCTTCATCAAAATGTGCCTCAGAAGCTTAAGCTCTCAACCTGTGTTGCCCTTCTCTCTGCAGGCTGTTTGTGCTTTGTCTTTGGCTGCTGGTCGGTGATGTAAATTGTGAGAATGCCCAGAAAGGTATTGAATGATCTGTCGCTTTGCAATTTTAACAGCCAGTAACATTTTAATATGCTTTTAACATAACTGAATATTAGTTGGCTGTTGTATAGAAACATCTGTACAGTATCTGCCAATGTGTTCTCTTTAAATAGGTTATGTCCGACGTGTCGAGGCAGGACCGGCCCCAATGGGTGTCCAAAATGACAACCAAGACTACAAGAGCAGTGAAGCACCTTTTTATAGAATCTCTGCGGATGGCCGTTATCCTTATCCTGTTATTCCTGAACCACAAAATAGCCAAGCTGTTCCAAAAAGCCAATTCAACGATTTTAAATCTGGCTCCAGCTCCACCTCAGTTGCACAAGGACAAAGTACTGTGGCATACAACCACTCTGGAAACAAAGCATTCACTTTTTCTGATGGCTTCATCAAGCTCACTCTGATTCTGTATTCTCCACAGGTGCAGTTCAGGTTCCATCCCATATCTATCGAGCCAGAACTCAACCTGTTCAGGCACACCGAGCTCCTGTAGGCGTTGGACCCAACAACAGAAAGGCCCTCTTCTATCCACACAGCAGTACAGCGAGTCCAAATATTCAAGCTATCAAATCTAGTCTGAAGTCTCAGAAGATATACGTAAACCCCTCTGGACCCAACATACGTGCCCTACACCCACAGGAGTCACCCCTCACACCCAGGTCTGAGGTGGGTGGATATCGCCCTGCTTATGTTTTCCCCAACGGCTTTAATCGTGACAGAACAGACTTGTTGCAGAAAGTTTTAAAACCCATAGACAAGAAGATGGAGTCCATTGTGAAGGGACATTCTCCTGGTGGCAATTCAGCCGGAAAGGTTGACACACGGATGTCTTATCCAATATGGAGTCCCAGGGTGTATAGCAGTGACGGGATGTCTCAAGCAAGAGGATACGCCCACGTCCGCCATCTCAAGCCTGGTTGTGACAAAACACGGCCCCAAGCTAGTTCTGCTGCAAGTATGAAGTTCTGGGGAACAGATTTTACATCTGCGAAACAGAATCAAGGAAGTTCTAGCCGTCATTCAACAGGAAGCTTTGGTCATGGCGTCCTAGCATTGAATGAAAGGCGGCTAAATCTTAATCACAATTCCAGAGGAAGAGAGCCCGGAAGCTGGCATTCTTCGCCATCAGATAGAGCACAAATTCCTGTTCAAGGCAAATTCAAACCTTTCCAAAGACTTCCTATGAATGATCTCCCTGCTCAGACCAATTCATCAGACAGTGAAACAGCTCCCACTCAGACAACCCTCCCCCCTAGTTTGAACTGCACAGGTATTACTACTTCAGTTAATGGAACGTTTAGCACCAAGACTGCTTTACCCACGCAGACCGAGGGCCAAGATCCAGAGCTTGTACCTCAAGCGTCAAACCCCGAGGACCAGACTGAAAGTTCAGCAGAAGTTGGAACTTCCTTAAAACAAAACAACACCACAGTTTCCCCTCCAAAGCTACAACCAGCAGAAAAAGAGACAAGCTGAGAAGGTTGTCTCATATCCTCCAGAAACAAATCTGTCTAAAGTTTAACTCGACCTCTGAGATGCTGCTTGGGTAAATGTGAATATCGGTGGCAAGTTGGCAACATCAGCAAGAGATCACAAAGGTGGCAGATTATGAACCACTTATCTGTATTTGCAGCTGCATCCGTGAAATGCAAGAATGTAAAATACCAAAGTTATCAAGGTTAAAGTGGTGAAATAACTGTTGCATTATGGATGATGGGTGATATTTTTAACCTACTCTGAGCTCTGCTGCCTGTTCAGAAAGGGTTTGACTTTGAATAAATGTTTTTCTCTTCAAAGACTGGCTTTGCTTTAGTAAATCCCAAATCAGTCTGATCTAGTGTGGAGTATATTTTTAAATTTACCATTGTAATTTACGTTCACCTTTTTGAAATTATTAGGTAAAACATACACTGTAAATAGCCTACACATTAATGGTATTGTTCATATTCTGATGTGATACAGCGACTATAGCAGCTAATGACATTCTCCCTAATTTTGTCTTTACTATGGTGTTAGTCAGTGGTGGAAGAAGTATCCAGATTATTATTGTAAAAGTAGCAAAACTATACAGTGAATATACTCCACTACAAGTAAAATACATGCATTTAAAATCTTAAAAATTAAAAGTAGCCCACCTTACTATGCAGAAAACAGTCTCTCACAGTGTTTTGAGCTCACTTTCCAGCTAATTAAAGACATTTAAAAATATATTTTATTTAGATTTAAGATGTAGGATAACTTTCTCAACACATAAAGGAACAAGTTATGGCTATGATAAACATAATTGTACTTTAATCTGAAAAGTAACTAGTAACTAAAGCTGTCAGACAAATGTGAAGCCTCTGGGATGTAGTTGAGTTTTAGTATAAAGTTGCATAAAATAATATAGCTTGAGAAACTGGTGTTTAACGGTCAGACCACCATTAGCTCTAACATTGTTTTTAACCATTATCATCTTATTTATCGTGTCTGTCCAGTCGACATGGAGTAATATCAGCATTCATTTAGAGTCGTGTCTCTTGTCTAATGATGAATCTTACTCCATTAACTCTCACTTTACCCTTTCCTAACTAATTATTATATTTAATAATATATATATTATTATTATTATATTATATATAATATATTTAATAATTATATATAACTATAATTAGTTAGATGCTACATTAAGCGGCGACGGTAAACTAACGGTAGTCTCTAACGGCCGCCAACCGTCAGTCTCTAACGGCCGCCAACCGTCCCGGGGCCGGGCAGGTGACGTCACTGGGTTTATCAAAGCTGGAAAAGCTGAAAATAATTATCCAGACGTTAAAAAACAAGATGTTTGGAAGACGTCTCCAATACATACACACTCTTGTAGCATAACTATACAACAAAATGTCGTTAAAGTTAGCATCGTCACTTAATTTTGACCCGTTTTCCATCCAAACAAAGATGGCGGCTCTTATTCCTGACTCCTCTCGTTATTGTATCCCCCTTCATCTACAGTTTAATTACCATTTTATCTTCTTACAAAGTTGTGGCGAGGGTGTTTATCACTCTATTATTCTCACCTGTGTGTGCAGCTGTATTACCTGCCGACCACCGTGCGAAACCTAAAACGTTTGGCGCCATCTTGTGGAGGTCAACCGGAAGTGCCTCTTCCGACTCTACGCCGCCGTTCTCTACGTCACCCGACGTCACCAGGAAGTCCACCGCAACCAAGGCGACAACATGGCAGAACACACAGACCCACGTGAGTGTGGTAAATTTAAAACCCCCAAAAAACATTACACCTGTTAAAAATACCTCCACCTGTTCTGGCTAGCGGGAACTTTTATCGCGCTTATAGTTAATGAACGGCGTCTTTAGTGGCGTCACACGACGCGTCGGCAGCTTTATGGCTTAGCTGCGACGCTAAAGCTAATTTCTCTTACGTTACCAAAAAGCAACTGTGTGGCTTTGTTTTCCTTTTTAACAGGCGGTGATGGAAATGCGGACGACATGCCGGAGCTCTCGGACTGCGATGATGAGGATGAGGATGATGATGGTGATGATGAAGAGCAGTGGCGGTGGATGGAGGAGGAGGAGGAGGAGGACGGCCAGCAAGTTACCGTTACCTGTCTGTTCTGTGACAGGTGAGATGAGACTGCAGAGGATGTTTAGAAATACACTGGACATTGGGATCAAGGTTTTTCCTTTAGAGCCACTTACCTTTCTACAGGTGTGTGTGTGTGTGTGTGTGTGTGTGTGTGTGTGTGTGTGTGTGTTAGTCGCTGGAGTTCAGAGGATGTCTGCTTATGGCCCAAGTGTGTATATATTAACTCAAATTATTGTTTTTTTTAGAAATATTAGTGATTTCACAATTTAAAATAAATATGAAATAAAAAAAAAAACACAATTTAAACATACTACATGTCCAAAATCTTGTATGTTAAAAGTGTACCGTACAATGTAATGGTCGGAAGTTGTCAGTGTTTTCATGGAAACTTTAACAGACTGATTTCCTAAACTCAGATAAACAAACATAAAACAGTAGGTTTAAGTGTAACTCACCCATGAGGTTATTGAAATCATAAACTTATATCTTATACGATATCTTACGCAACTTTTACAACAGCATTAGCAGCATCTTAATATGTTACAGTCAGAAAGTGAGAAACATCTGATGGAAAATAAAACACTTTTTCATTCTTAAAACTGTTATGTATGATTAAGTACTCATTTTGGTACTCGGTATTGGAAAGTAGCCAAATGTAAGTACCTGTGTGTGGTCTGAAAAAAGTGGGATTGTACATCCCTAGTGGAAAAGCTTCATAAACACCTCTTCTTGCCCTTTCTGATGAATGATTTGTTCAGGAGAGAGAAGTATGGGTCCCAGCATCCAAAGTTTCACCTAACAGTCAGTTATCATACATAAAATCCCAGCTGTCTGTCTCCACTGTCACGAGTTGTTTCTGTTTATAAACTCAAAATAAGATTATTTTGTTGTTTGATTTATTTTTCGTTTAGTCTGCACAGCAAGTCAAACCTCATTACTGTTTTCTCCCTGCTTCAAAACCAAAGGACTGTGACATACAGTAAACAGATATAGTGTGTTATAGGAGTATAAGTATTAATAAAATTAAAGGTTTAACTCTGCATGATGCTGGTCTAATGTATGTTTTGATCCAAAACATCCATTTTCAGTCAATGAACCAATAAATCTGAGTGTCTGTTTTTGATTTTAAAAGATGAATACGAGTGAGTTTGTAATGAAATTGATTGCTTTTCTTACCCGTGTACTTTTGTGTTTCAGGTTGCTGAGCTCCGTGCCCGCCACCCTGCAGCACTGCACAGCTGAGCACCAGGTCAATCTTGTAGACGTGATAAGAAAACATAGTAAGTAGACACAGCTCTCTGCGTCACTGAAGAACCGTAGGATTGTTGCGTTTCGTTCAAATGGCTCAACCTTGTTTTCCTCTTTAGATTTAGATGACTATGGTTACATAAAGATGATCAACTTCATACGGTCGACGGTAAGTACTGTCTGTCTTAAGTCTTAAAATGTCATGCTGTAAGTGTTGTTCATACCTTGTGTCCATGGGGCATGGTGAGTGTTAATATTTCATCCAAGAAAACATCTGTTGAGACATACTCAGGTAAATGCAGTACAACTTTTAAAAAAAAAATGGAATCAAATAACAAATCTGTGTTTATAGAAATGTGATGCATCCTGTCTGACGGGGCTGCCAGATGCCCCCTTACCCTGGGAGAGCGAAGACTTCCTGCGACCGGTCCAACAGGACGACCCCCTGCTGCAGACAGGTACAGCATCTCCTTAAGGTTTATTACACAGATGTTAGGTTTTAATTATTCAGTAACTGACTGCAGTTGGAGTAAGTATTTAGATGTTTAAAGCACCCAATAGAACTCTCACACTCACATTTAGTAGGATGGTACTTGTTGGTACTCGTTTGCAGTTTGTCTGATCCAGATGGAAGAAGTTTTGTCCAAACAATTTTAAGGCAAAGGTGTTTATATTTATTCTGAATGGCCACACTCTGAGGCAAAAGCCTGTAATCATAGAGCGGGGCGAGAGGTGCCAAATTGTAGAAAATGAGGAATAAGGACATGCACTTTTGGGCCGTCTCCTCTGAAAGGCATTCATGGTGTTGCACTCGGTTGTACACGCGAAAAGTGGCAGAAGTAGTAGTGTGAAGAATGAACTAAGAGAGCTTGAGAGAGAGGTTTAAATCCTTACTTTCTCCTCCTCCGCACTCAGTAAAGTCGACGTGCTTGTCAGAAAGTTTGCAAAAGTTGTCGGATGCAGCCCTCTGAATTCTGATGTGGAAAATGTGTGTAGGAGGGAACATGGTTTCAAATGTTGTTCAGTGTCCAACAAGCACTTTGTTCGATGTGTGTAAAGCTAAATATGCTACTGATGCCATTTGTCCGAGGACATGTCGCCTTACCTGACTGTACCTTCTGTACTGATGTTAGCCGTAGTGAAGAGTCTGCCGATGGGACTGCTCACAGTACCACACCACCAACAAAAATATGAACACAATCTGGACTCCATCCTCGTTTGGATGGCTCATTCTCCCATTCTGTTAACAAATCTTCCGGTTGACATCCTTTATGTCTGGACATCCCGGATGTTGCCTTAACAAGGCTGCAAGATAATTTAATATATTTGGTTATATTCTGTGTTTCTAAGAGGTTTTGATTTCATCCTCAAACACTGAGATGACAGCGGTGTCTCAGATCACTGTCCTCTATCTGTGGGTGCTTTCACACCTGTAGTTCGGTTCATTTGTTCCGGACCAGGGGAAAAAATGCTAAATACATGGTTGGATTTTAGTTCTGGTTGGGTTCGTGTTCCCACTAGCTTTTTACAAACGAACCAACAGGAGGAAACATAAAGTCATAAAGAGAAGTCATTAATTGGACTGATTTGGTGACTGTCATCCTGCATCATCAGCACATAATCAGGACCTACGTGAGAAAATAAAGTTCCGCACACCGACAGCAGGTCACGCAGCACTTAAACGCCTCTAATATGTGTATTTATGTTCTCATAAAGGGACCACAGATTGGCCGCATGTTATGAATAATGACAGAGGTAGAAACAGGATGAAAAAGAAGTGCCGCCGTGTTCAGCAATATTCCGACTGGTATTTTTTCCCCTTTGTAAAGCCCTCGGAGAAGGAGCGGGATTCGGTTTTGCGTGTAGGTGAAGAGAGCGTTAGTGCAGTGGAGTGACAGATTTGCCGTTTGAGGAAAAGCCTGAGTGACGTACCTTATTCAGCTCCCAGCTTGTCTTTTGGCTGCATTGCCCTGGCAGGAGAAACTGGTCTCTGTGCCTCCTCTGTGGTGCATTTCTCCCTGTATGATTGTTGAATGACAAGGGCTCTTCTCTAGAGAGAAA